TATATATATATATATATATAATTATATTTATTATATATATATATATATATATATATATATATATATATATACATTTGCATTTGAATGCACCTGAATTTTTTCTCTTTTTTGTAAATCGTGGTAATATAAAATAAAATTTAATTTTTTTCCAGTTGAATAAATTGAGTAAATCCTTGCTTCGATAATAAATTGAAGGTCGAGATATGAATAGCCTACTTGAATAAACTCATTGACAGGGGCAACTCAATTTTAAACCATTTAGAATAAGAACTATTTTTAAGAGCTGAAAGTTCTATTTGTTGTTTATAAATTTCATTAAAAACATTTTTCGTGTTTTCACTTTTTTTCTTAGTAAGAAATGTTTCTACAGCCATCAGCTGATTTAAATAAATTTTCCATTCTACCTCCTTCAAGGCTTGAAGCTGCAAATGCATGTGTATAAGTTATATATATATATTTACATATAAGTTCATATATTTGTGTGTGTGTGTGTTTTTTATTTTATTTTATTTTTTTTTATTTTATTTTTTTTTTATTTTATTTTATTTTTTTTTATTTTATTTTTTTTTTATTTTATTTTTTTTTTATTTTTTTTTTTTTTTTTTTTTGTATTAGCCATACGAGATCTTTGAAATCTTCAAACCATTTTTCATTTGTGAATGAGTAATATTTCTATTAAAATTTTGAAAAAGTAAAAAAAAAGTAGCGAGTAAAAAAAAAATGGGCAAATAAAGATTAAACAAAAATTATGCATAGTTGTAAAACATAAATAATATTTATTATATATATATACCGAATTGTGTTTTTTTTCTGATAAAAAAATTATTGCATATTGAATTATTTCAATCAGGACAACGACATTGTCGACTTGAAAAAAAGTTAGGTTGGTACAATTATTTTTTATCAAATTTACTATATATGTAATGCCTGACAAAGTGTTTATATATGTTATACAGACACACATATGTATGTATTTGTATATGTACATATATACGTATATATATATATATATATATATATATGTTGTTCTACACCTATTTATTTTTCTCACTACATATTATTACATAGTTCATATCTTTTTGTGCTTTCGTCAAGCATGACTTTAATAAGATCCACAAATGCTTGACGAGAAATCCAGCTAGCCATATTATCAGCTAAATTAAAAAAAAAAAAAAAAAAAATTACAACTAACTGTGTTAACACAACACATGTAATTATACTAAGTAAAGAAAATTATGTTTATAATTGTTTAATTGATAGAAATAAGAAAATATATGTTAACTCTTTCATGTGATGCAGTTTGATGGTAAAGCAAACATATACGTATAAAATATGTACACATATATATATATATATATATGTATATATATGTAATGTATAAACGCGTAAGTACGTATGGATAAATAAAAATATTTTTTACGGTCTGGTTTGAAGTCAAAAATTTTATCCAGTATAACACTTAAACAAGTTTTAAATAAAACGTCTTCATTTATATTTTTTTCGATTTGTTCTGTAAAGAAAGTATTTTTTTTTTTTATTTTTTATTGTTTTTTATTTTTTATTTTTTTACATGGTTTAATGTTATATACAACGTGCGCACATATATAATAAAAATGTTGCGTTCTTACTTAAAAAATTATCAATTTGTACAATCATTTCATTATCTAATAAGCTACTATTATTGTTGTTATTTTGTGCCAAAAAAATAGTTGGGTTTGAGCAGCAAAGTATAATTTTATCCATAAAAATGTTAACCATTTTTAGGAGAATGGGATTTTGTTTATCTTCATTGTCATTTAACTTTATTTGATACTTTAGTTCTAATATAATAAATAATAAAAATATGATGTTACTTATATATAGTAAAAAAAAAAAAAAAAAGCAGCAAAAGTAAGTATATTTGTGTGTGTGTATCTCTTTTTTCTTTCTCTCTCTCTCTCTCTCTCTATATATATATATATATATACATGTGCGATATGCATGAGTCATAATTCATTTATTGTGGATTATAAAAAAATAACTAACCATTGTTGAATGTGTTCATAAAAGATATTAACAACTCATATTCGACATTATCACAATTCAAGTTATGCATTTCACACTGCAAAAAAAAAAAAAAAAATGCAAATTTTAAAAAAATGTCAGTCAAATTGTTAAATTAAGCTAAAAAATTATACCATAGGAAAAACGTATATATATAGATATACAATATACACAAACAATTTGAGTTATCTTTAAATCAACCGTTTTTGAATATTTGTTTGTAAAATCTTGTAAAGTAAAAAAATTTGTTTCCTTATTTTTTAGGGATATATTTTGTTTTTCAGTAGTGTCGGGTATTATGTTTTTTTCATATCCCGTTTCTAAAATATAGTTTTCTTTATTTTTTATGATATTAAAAACATCACAATTATTATTTCCATTTATTGTATTTTTCCTTTCTGATAAAATATTTTTAGCTTTTTTTAAAATGTTCTACATATTAAAAAAATGTTAAAAAAAAAAAAAAAAAAATTACTATATATAGAGTTGTATACAATTATAAAACAGTGTTGTATACTTTTACAAATGTAAAAATATTTTTATTGTCTTTTATTTGGTAAAATTCGTTGTAAATTTCTTTTAGTAAAATTAATTATTTATTCCGATTTTTATTATGTGCGTGTGTGTGTTTCTCTTTCTTTTTCTTTCTTTTTTGTAATAATGTTTTTATTTCATTAAACCTTTTTCAGTTCTATACTAGTTAAAGATTTTAAAACTTCTTCATCCATTTTGTTTCAAAAAAGTAAAAAAAAAAAAACAGAATACAACACGTTGATTGTGTTTATTTTATACATTTATTTTATACATTTATTTTATACATTTATTTTATACATTTATTTTATACATTTATTTTATACATTTATTTTACGCATTTATTTTACGCATTTATTTTTACTCATTTAATTTTTTTAATTGCTTTAATTTGATTTAAAATTCCCCTATTTATATTAAAAGTTTACATTTACTTATATAAGCACATGCATATGTTTATGTATAGCCTTGTGTGTAACTTTTACATAAAGAATAAATAACAAAAGAGCGTAAATAAACACACAATGGATAAAATGTGTATACCAACAATAGGTTCAAGTTTTAAATACAACTAAATATTAATTATCTTTGAAAAGTATATATATATATAATAAAATTATCATACATGAATTTATAACATACGTGTATTTACCACGCCCTTTTTTTTTTTTTTTTTTTTTTGAAGAGTTTATGATTAGTAAAATGTAGTGTTTTAAAATTAAAGCTGAAAAATATATATATATTTATTATTTTTAAACAAAATATTTTAAAACATTTTAAAATATTTTAAAATAGCAATAAGCATGTCATTTTGTAACATAAAAAAAAATGTAGAATGCATATATAAAAGTGTATATATTTAATATAATGTCAATGGAAAAAAAAAAAAAAAAAAAAAAAAAAAAAAAAAAAAAAAATGTTGTATACATTTTGAGAGGTACAATTTTGGTATAGGAAAAACAATTCATGTACATATTGTTTGTTAAGTACATTTTCGGCATGGAAAAATATACATAGTGAATTATAAAAATTATTTATTATATGTAACAATTATTTAACGTATGTAAAAAAAATAATTCATCATTGTTTATGCCAAATATAATTAAAATTCATATAGTGATATACATTAATTACATAATAATATTAATAACAAAGGTTCGATTTTTTTATTGTTCTAGCAAATAGTAAAAAGTTAGCTTTTTTTATAGTTTTTTTGCAACTTTTACATATTAAGTAATTTTTTTGCTCAGCATTATTAATTTAAAAAAAAAAAAAACATAAATTTGTTTATTTCTGAAATTACATTTATTACATTTAAATAAATACATATAAAGGTTTACATATTAATGCTACGGCAAATAGTTCAAAATAGTTTTTGTTTTTTATCCATTTACATAACATTTATAAATAAATGAGGAATACATTAAATGATTTTAACACATTTATTACATAAAACATAATGTTTATTTCATTACATAAAATATGATGTTTTTTTTTCATTACATAAAACATGATGTTACATATCAAGGTAGAAAAAGTAAATAAAATAATACGGTTATAATAACACTCAACGATTTAATTTATTTTAATATTATCTCGTTATTTTTTATTTAACCAATATAAAAGTTAGTTTACTAACTGACCTTTACATATTCCCGGTTAATTCAACGCCAGTAGGCACCTTCTTGTTAAGGAATGTTGTTTTAGCTGTAACATAAAAAGTAAAGGAACAAACCAAATAAAAAAAAAAAAAAAAAGGGAAAAAAAAAAAAAAAATTTTTGTTTTATATTGTTAATTTTAAAATGCATATATGTTACATTAATAATAGAAAAACAACGCCAACCTTATTTATTCTATTTATAAATAAGTAGATGATTCGTTTCAAAAAAATAATATCCTTAATATACATATATATATATATATATATATATATAGTAACATTCGTTCATATCAATGCACATTTATATACATACCATTTAATGTTTATATACATGGTTTTAGTCAAATACTCAATTTGTGTTACCATTTATTGAAAAAAAAATCAAACTAAAAACCGCGCACTTTTATTTTTCATGTAATTTATAAAAATAAACGGACATATACAATAAAAAATAAAAAAACTGTTTTCTTATTTTTGTTATCAATTTTCATGTAACAAAAAAAAAAATTGTTTGTCAAGCAAAAAAAAATAATAATTTAATTTTCCAGCTTTTTTAGTGTGTGTTTTGTAATATATTTGATTATTTTTTTGCCACTTTTTATATTGTGTTTTGATTTGTTGTTATACGAAAAAGGTAAATCGTAACAAAATAAAACAAAAATATAAAATGTAGAATGTGTTTAATCTTTATTTTGTGCACTAATAAAAAAAAAAAAAATATGAACAGTACATGTTTTTTTTTTTTTTTTTTTTTTTTTTTTTTTTTTTTTTTTTAATTATATTATTAGTATTTTTTTTAATCCATTTCCCTAATAATAAATTAGATCGGACAAAATAAACTTTCATGCCAAAACTCAAATAATTTTTATTTTTAATATTGATAAGAACATATACATATCATATATATAAAGTATATATATATAAAGTATATTCAAATATTTGTAAGCTTTTAAATGGTTATTATGCAAATAAGGACAC